AATTTTTGTTTGATTTTTCCCTTAATGAGTTCCAGAATGGGGTATTTAATTAAATTCCACTGAATCATTGCCATACTATTTCCATTAATGGTAATTATCTCCTGTGAAATGCAACCATTCCTTCTAATTGGGTGTCACAATTGAAAAGCTGCAGATATGTTGTCAAACAAGTCACAATATAAAGTAATAGTTTTACCATCACAATGTTTTCAATACTCACTTCTCAGTTATGAGAATATTGTTTGCTAGCAATATTTTCCGAGTCATTGTTTTCAGTATAAGTTTGGATTCTGATAGATGACACTAATTATCATATTAGCAAGATGTATGATGTCAACGGGGAAATGAAACTTCCCTGCTGTATTTTTAAAGTAGTGCCAATAGGAGTTATTTTTATTTGTAAAACGGCTTCTTTTTGTTTTTATCTCTAATGATGTAAGTGTGAAGGTTGTTGAGTGGTCACATAATGCTCTGCCATTGTACACTACAGTTGGATCACCCATCAGCCAGTATGCTGGTGGTCCCTTGGATCCCTGTGTCTGTCTAGTCTATCTCAAACTGACTTGTTACTTGTTGACTACTAAGTCAACTAGTGCTGGGCCACGTAACTGAAATCGGTACCTGTTGTGGTTGAAAAGTTTAACTTATATTCGCACATAAATATATTGCTATGTATTATATATCAGTATATTAGTATGTCATATGTAATATACTAATAATGTAAATGAAGTGTATTAACTTCAAATAGCTATCCAAAATTCCTATGACAGCTTATTCTGAATGATTACACTTAGGAACAGGTTCAGGTTGCCTTGAATAATATGTTCCACTGCAGAAACAATTTCATGAATATTTTTATGAACAAAAGAAAAACATACACCAAGGCACCTAACAAATACAGGGTTGGAGATTCAGGTACTCCAGTTGCAGCAGAGCGGGCATCTGTTAGCCTTTTCAAGTGCTGACTCTTGACATTCTTAGTTTTTGTGTTGGGAGAAGCTGGTGGTCTGGTAATAACTTAGTTATTAATACATTATTATATTATTAATATTTTCCTAAGGTTTTTCTACTGCCAGTTAAAATCAAACTAGATCAAATTCAGAGGCAGGTAACAAGTGGCTGTTCCGGACTACAGATAGCACATGCCTTCCTCTTGATGTGAAATAGTCCAACATAATCAAGAAGTTTTAACCGGGCAGTTTGGAAACTCTGACTTTTTCCTGGGAACTTCAGTTCACAAAACCTTAAATATAACATTAAAAATTGGTATAAAGAGAAATTATAGAATCATATTTTCCATATATAGCTTATTTCATTATTTTACAGTTATAACATTTATAAGTTTTAAAAGCTTCTAAACTATAATAGGATTGTAGCTGTTTCAGAATTCGCTGAAATTTGGTATGCAATGAACTTCTTTATTTAAGATGAATTAAAGATGCAGTGAGGAGACCTTGGTACTTTTTAAGCCTTTGGTTCTGATGTACTTTACCTAAATGCAAAAAGAAATTGGCATAAATAGTTAAAACTGTGTCGTATGTAAATTATTGATTTACAAGGAACATTCATTTTATACTAAAGAACATTTTAACTTTGAAGATGTACCTTTTGCAGGAGAAAATAGAAATTATTTCTATATTTTTGCCATGTAATTCTCTATTAATGTCAATTATTTTATCTATCGTTATCACAAAAATTGGCTAAAAGTGAATACTCTTGTATCATAATAAACCAAGAAAACTGACATTTAGTTTTCTTTGTCTTTTGTTCATTTTATTTCATCTATTCCAGTGCCTCAGAGAACTCAGACGAGCTCTCCTCCTCCAGTAGCTGGTTACTCACTCAGAAGCACAGTAAGAAAAGGAGGAAGGACAGGACGAGAATGAAATCTCCATCCTCGGCTGTCATGAGCACAGCTGCCCGAACAAGGCCGCTTCAGAGTTTCCATAAGAGAAAGCTCTACCGATTGAGCCCCACTTTTTACTGGACTCCTCAGGTAAGGCTGCATTTGGGGAACATGAAGAAAGATTTCACTGCAGTATATTTTGAGTACAATCGGATGTGAGTTATATATAGTTAGAATAATTGCATATAAAAAAATTAAAATACAGTTTATAAATTAGATATTAATTGATAGTGACAATAAAAAATGGGATTTAATAAGTTTTTTAACATAGCAGTATACTGTGTACTCTAAAATTTCTTTTTCTCCATTTTTTAAAAAATTATTGTTGTTGTTTTCTTTGCTGCTAGAAATTTAACACGGGCCCCTTGCATGCTTAGCCTGCACTCTACACTGAGCTATGACCAAGCCCCTGGTTTAAAAAAATAAATGTATCTTGCTGTTTTGTAAGTACATTAAAATAATTTTTAAAGAAAATTAAATGTCAAGGTGATTTTTGAAACATTCAGGTAAGGGTAATAATGACATGTACTACATATCTGTGTTAGAAATATTTGCTCAGGTAAACACAAGGTATAAGATTAGTGAGAAACACTAATGCAGGAGCTAGCTTTGAGAAGTTTCTTCTGGCCAAATGTGGGAATATTTGGGTATCAAAAATTTTAATTTCTTCTTTTCCTCCCTCTCTCCCTCCTAAACAGGGTCTTATGTATCCTATGCTGGCCTTAATTTACTGTGTAGCCAAGGATGATCTTGAACTAATCCTCCTGTTCCACCACTGGGGTGCCTGGATTATGAGTATGCTGGGAATTGAACCCAAATTTTGTGAATGCTAGGCCAGTATTTTACCAACTGAGCTACATCCCCGTCCCTATAAGGATAGTAATGAACTACGGAAAACATGAGAGGGCTAGGCTGTGGATAAGTTTATAAGAGCATTTGGTAAGCATTCCCAAAGCCCCAGGGTTTGAGGCATGGTGACATACACTTGGGAGGTGGAGGCAAGATGATGAAAAAAGCAAGGTCATCCTAGGCCACATAATGAGGTCCAAGCCAATGTGGCCTACATGACAGAGTGTCTCAAAACAACACAACACAAAAAACCAAATGCACCCGTGAGTTCACAGTGATGACACAGAGAAGATGGACTGGCTCTACATAGGTAGGTATGTAGAGAGACAGGGCAGGGTGTTAATAAATAGAATGGATGAGAAAGTGAACAAATGACTGGGCAAGAATAGTGAGATTAATAACAACCTGGGGTGAGGACAGGAGGAGACTGTAAATAGGAGATCTGCATAGGCTTAAAGTACAACCACCCTTCCTCCCTGTTGTCAGGGGTTCATAATAATTGTATCATAGACAATCAGAAAATACATCACCCAAATTATCAAAGCCAGAGTTGCCTACTAGAAAGAGACAGTATTATGCAGGGTTATATCATTCTAATTTAAGTATGAGTAATGATTAGACAAAGCCAAGTTTAGAAATACGCTACTAAGAAACAACTAGCTTGGAATACTTAAAAGTTCTCAGTGTTATGTCATGAAGAATTGTTCTTGATTGAGATATTAAGAACATATATGACAGGATTAATGTGCAGTACAAAACAGAATATTGTCAGAGGAACAATTTTTCTTAGAACAATGAGAAAACTGAAGTGTGGCTGGTAGATTAGATAAAAATATTTATCAGGTTGGGGATGTAGCTACGTCCGTAGCAGCTACTGACTACATCCCCAGTCTACCATCCATAAACTCTATTCTGGCTTCATCCCCAGCACTGCAAGCAAACAACAAAGAGCCAGTGTTGACATTTCTGAATGTGATAACTGTTGTTTTGTTATCTAAGAAACCAACTTATTCTAGGAAGGACCCACTGAAACTAAAGGTTAGTGGCTAATACATATAGTAAATTAACTCCTGTGCATCTAGAACGGTATTAGTTCTGGGTCATCCTTTGGAGAATTGAAGGTACAAACATTTATGCACATTTCTATACACACTGGTTGACACAAGGCAATGTGGAGAAGTAACAATGCAATGGAGAGGGTAAGAGCTCTTACAGTAGTAGAGAGGACATAGAAAGTACTTAACTGATCACTACTCCTCTGACAACCAAGGGGGAAATGCTTACATTTTTAACTACTATACTACTAAGGACATTTTCAGGACTTGTGGTTTCAGTTCCAGCATACAAAGAAATTAGACAGTAATCAGTCCTCTCAGTGAGCAACTTAAAGCTAATTCCTTTTCATTGATCTGTCACAGATTTGAGATTGCCAGGCTAATTGCTACCCTGAAATATTGGGAGACAGGAAAATCAAGAGTTAGAGCCAAATTCTGTTTGGAGACACAGAAACCATATGGTATACTAACCACATGGACTGCCATTCATTCATGGACTCACACATTTTAAAACTGAAAGTTAAGAGGGGATGGCTAATGGCTCTAGCATGTAAGGAGGAAGAGAACCAATGTGAAATTGGCTTAGGCATTATCTGTAACAAAGATTCTTCAGGAGAAAGATTTTACCATCTGAAGGAAGAACATCTTTTCCATTTTTATTACTGGTTATTTCTCACTTAAGTGGGTGTGTATATGTGGGTTAGAAACAGTTGTTAAATTCATAGTTTAAGGACATGGCTACACGAAAAGACAGATTTAATCACAAGATTAAGAATACTTCCTTTTCACACACTTTACTACCAGACTAAAAGAGCTCCAGTGCAAGAACAGGGTATAGCTGCAGACTCTGAGAAGGAACCTGAAAGGATTCAGAAGTGAATCAGGATGTGGACGACTTGTAGCCTAAGTTAAAAAGACGGTTCAAGTATCGAAGCAGGGAGGAAAGATTGGCTGTTGTTTTGTTTTTCTATTTATTCCCTTTTCAGAGTTTTCTTTTTCTGGGTTCTGTTCCTCTTGTTCTGGTTTTATGATTGCTTTGCTTGTTTCTGTGAGTCTTCTTCCTACTTCTGTTATAGTTCCTATATAAGCTTTTACCATTTCTCCTTCCTAACGTCCTCTCTTAATCCAGTAGTAGCTTCAGCAATAATAACTTTTAAACTTCCTTGTTTTTGGAGTTAGGAACAGAGACATTTTATAACCTCACTAAGGATGTAGGTAGTCATTTGCATTTTAATAACTATTTTCTGGACAAATAATTGTTTTGTTATGAATCTCTGCTTCATCTCCTTTAAAGAGTAGTGTTAACCATAAGCACAAGAGAAAACTATCCTCTCAAAAGGTATGAATTATATAAAGGAAAGAAAATATATATACATCCCAATAGATGTCTAAGTCACAGTATAAAACCACAAGTAATATGAAAGACTTAGACAGTATGACTCCTTATCTAAAAGATCGTAACTTCTCAATAGGTAAAACCAAAGATGCTGAAGTAGTTGAAATACAAGACAAAGAATACAAAAGCCTACTTTTAAACCTGATCAATGACTTTAAAGAAGATATCAACTCAGGACTTAAAAATAAAGTCTGCAACATGGATTGAAAATTCAGCAAGGAAACAAATTAAATAGCAAACAAATAATAGTAATAATAATAAATGATAATAAAGGTCGAGAGTACACTTACAGATGAGTTTAAAAAAAAACACAAAACGCAGGATGCCTATGACTTTGAAAAACTTTGGGAGAGACCAAACCTAAGCATACATGTAATAGAAGAGCTGAGTTTCAAGCGAAAGGCATAGAAAAACCTATTCAATTACAGAGTAACAGAAAATTTCTCAAACCAATGATATAGACAGACTGGGACTAGAGGCATTAAGAATCCCTAATAAATATGACAAGAATAGAGGCTTTCCATGTCACATCAGAGTTAAAGGCAAACAGTAGAACAAGGGAAGAATACTAAATACATGAGAAAGGTGTGGTGTAACACACCCGTCATCCTAGCACTTGGGAAGGCGAGTCACTGGTGAGTTTGTAGTACATTGAAAATATGTGAAGAGTAACAGAAGACTGACAAAATGAAAACGAAATGTCAGACACAACACAGAAAAAAGCTACTAGAGGAAAATGTCAATGTATTCACAAAGGCATGGCCATCAGAATAACATTAGACATGTCCTCTCAACAAACGCTTGAGAAGCCAGAAAGCATGGGATGATAGCATCTAAGAATTAGGGCTTCTGGTATGTCTGTCTGTCTAGCTATCTAAATATAGAGGGTGGTTATGTTCTTTCTATTCCAAATTTTTTCAGGGCTTTTATAAAAAAAAGGATGTTGAACTTGGTCAAGGGCTTTTTCTGTATCTATTGAGATAGTAAGATAATCATGAGATTTATGTTCCTATTGTATATGTATATGTTATATTTATTAATTTGCTTATTTTGAACCATTCCTGAATCTCTGGAATGAAACTAACTTGTTGATGGTATGTTACACACACACACACACACACACACACACACACACACACACACACACACACACAGAAGCATGACAAATGTATAGCCAATAATATACAAAATGGGAAAAAATAAAAGCATTTTCCCTAAAATCAAAAGCAAGACAATGGTGTTAACTCTCCATTCTTATCTAATGCATCACTGAAATTCTTACCTAGATCAATAAAGCATGAGAAAGAAATGAAATGGATACAACTTAAAAAAAAAAGAGAAATATTCAATTAGCCTTATTTGCAAATGATTTGATACTAAAAAGATCTTACTAGGGGCTGGAGAGATGGTTCAGCCAAGAGCACTGGCTGCTCTTCCAGAGGACCAAGTTCAATTCCCAGCACTCACATGGCAGCTCACAATTGTCTGTAACATCAGTTCCAGGGGATTTAGTGACCTCTTGTGTCTTTCATGAATACCAGCTATCCACATGGTACACAACCATGCATGCAGGCAAACCCAGACACATAAAAATAAAAAAAGACTATGATAAAGACTCCCTAGTAAAACTTTTTCTTATGATAACTATTTCCAAGACATAGTGGAATACAAAATCAACATACAAAATACAGTCACTTTGAAATATACAGTAACAATTATGCTTCAAATACAAAAATAAAGGGATAATTCTAACTATAGAAGTATTAACTGTAAAACACTGATAAAAGAAACCAAAAAAGATAGAAGATGGAAAGACACCTTATGTCAATGGATCAGCAGAGTTAATATTGTGAAAATATGTATACTACCCTAAGTCCTTTATAGATCCAATCAATCCTTACCAAAATTTCAATGACATTCTTCACAGAAAAAGCAATTTCACAACTAAATGGATCCCATATAACCAAAGGCTTTGTGAATAGAAATAGCAGTGCTGGAGGAATCAATTACCTGATTTCAAATGATAGAACAGAGCCATGCTAACAAGACTCCTCAAAGCACTGGAAAGGAGGAAGACTGAGAACAAACCCACATAGCTACAGCCAGCTGATTTCCAAGAGGGTTCATAAACAAATTTGTACAAAGTACATCTTCACCAGATGGTATTGTAAAAATTGGTTCTCATGTGGCAGAGTGAAACTAGATCCTTTACTCTGACCCTGTCAAAATGTATACAAATTAGATAAGAGATTTTAACATAAAACCCAAAACTTTGAAAACTGTTTTAGCGAAAATTCATTAAAACATAGGTACAAGGGCTTTCTGTGTACAAGTCAAAAATACAGGAAAAAAGAATCAACAAATGCATGAAATTAAAATGTTTCTAGGCGCTGGCGAGATGGCTTAGTGTATGAAGGGTTTGCTCTGCAAGCATAAGAACCTGAGTTACCACCTAGCACCCATGTAAAATCTGGGAGCAGTGGTGTGTGTATGTAGCTGTGGGAAGGGGCCTTGGAGTCAAATGCATCCCAGGGGTTCTGCTGGCTAGCTGGTCTAGATAAATGGAAGCTCAAGATTTAGTGACAGACCTGGTCTCCAAAGTATGAGCTATAGATGAAGGCATTTGGTGTTGACCTCCAACTTCTATACACGTGCACAGTACCTTCCCCTTCCTGCCCTGACACACAGTTTCTGTGTTACAAATTAAAAACTGAAGTGAAGCAATAACCTACAGGATGAGAGAAAATTTGTGTCCACTACTCATCCAACAGATGAAAGATTAATATCCAGAATACAGGCTGGGTGTAGAAGTATACACCTTAATCCCAAGATTCGGGAGGTAGAGGCAGTTGTTGCTCTATGAGTTCATGGACAATCTGGTCTACATAGAGAGTTCCAGGTCAGAAAGGGCTACATAATTAGAACCTATCTCAAGAACAATAAATTCAGAGTATATACAAAAAACTGATCAAGCCTTCTACCATCCAATAAATAAATGGGCAAATGCCTTGAGCAGTCAGTTCTTAAAAGAAGTACAAGTGGCCAATGAATATGTAGGAAAATGTCTAGCATGCTTAGCCATCAGGAAAATGCAAATCAAAACTAAATTGAGATCCCATTTCACCTTAGTCAGAATGGCAATCATCAGGATATCCAGGAACAGAAATTCTTGCAAAGATAGATGAATAAGCAGCTAATATGCATCACTAGTAGAATATAAATTAATGCCACCACTACAAAAATCAGTGTGGAGATAAATTAAAAAAGAAAAAATACAATAATATCATGTTCTCCTCTACCACTCCTAGGCATTACCTAAAGGAATGTATGTTAGCATACTGGTAAGATAACCAACTGCATTTCTGTTTATCCTACCACTTTTCACAATAGCCCAGTCATTTTATCAACCCATCTTTGCACATGTTAATGGTCAAAGAGGACACATATGCACACAGAGTGATTTAGTCATAATGAAGCAAATTATCCTTTAACAGGAAAATGGATGGAACTAGATATTATTGTGTTAATAAAACAGGCTCAGAAGATAAGTGTCATGTTTTCTCTCATATATAGAATCTAGATAAAAAATATGAAAAAAAGCATGACTATTTTTGAAGAGAAAGGGGATCAGTAGGAGAAAGAAATGGGAATAGGAGAGGGTAAAATATTGAAATAGATAAAATCAAAGAACATTTCATATGTACATAAGAATGTCATAAACTCATGCTTTTACCATGAATATATACTAATAAAATGATACTCTGAAGTATCTGGCACCTATATAGCAATAGCAATTACTTTTAGTTTATATAACAATAATAAAAAGTGTGCTTACCTCCTATTACATTGTATATCATGCTCAGCATTCAGCAAAACTCTGCAAGGCATATTAGGAAAGAACACATACTGAAGAGACTATTAGACCTAACCTCAAGACAAAAAGAGTTGGATTGTCATAGGGAAAATCTTAATTTAAAATGTTATATTGGGGCCTTTAATACATAAAGTAGAAAATGTAGATTTGCAGTGTAAACAGATGGAAAATCAAGAGGAACCAGAAATTTATGCTACAAATTAAAAACACTGTAACTTAAGCTTGCCATTGGCAAGCTCATGTGTGGTCTGGACATGGTTGAGGAAAGATCACCACACATAGCACAGACTATTGAAACTTCAGAAACTTAAATTCAAACAGAAAAGGGAATTTTAAAAAATGAAATAGAACATGTAAGAATTTGGAGGCATTGGAATATCAAAAGGAAAGAAAAAGAATGGGGCAAAAAAAAGATCTGAAATAATGAGAAACTTCCAAAATTAATGGCAAACAACAAATCAAACATGTAAAAAGAATTTCAGACTGAATACCTACCTGTCTATCTATCTATCCATCTATCTATCTATCTATTATCCAAAACATATTCAAACTGTAGAATCCAAAGACAAATCTGGGAAATGTCCGGAGGGGGAAAAAACATCTTAACTGTGTAAGAAAGAACTAGTATAGGTGACTTTTTATTATACCCATGGAAGCAGAGAGGGGGAGTAAAACATTTAAACAACGGTGATGATATTGACATTTTTATCCTCAAAGATGTCCATGTTCTGAAACCTGGTTCCTAAGAGTGTGACTATAGGCTAAATTGTGATAGTAATAGGGTCTTTGCATATTTAAAGAACTTAATACCAAGATTATTTTGGACTTAGGATGAGCCCTAAATCCAGTGATACATGTTCGTATAAGAGAAAAAGTAGAATTTGGGAAACAAAGACAATGAGATGAAGGCATTGTGGAAAAAGCAGACTGGAATTATGTTACCATAAATCAAAGATGATACAAGTCCTGGGAGGTGGAAAAAGCAAAAGAGCATTGCCTCCTAGGACCTTTGTAAGGTTGCCCTATTAAAGCTGGGATGCCATAATTACAAGAAATGAATGTGGAAATTTTCAACTCCTTCATCTATAGCACCTTGTTAGGGCAGTCCCAAGAGTATAAACTGCTATATCAAACTTGCTTTGCAGTTGGTTAATAGGTAAAGAATGAAAAAACTGTAAGGTACATAATAGAAAAAAGACTAGATTCTTCTGAATTCAGAAAGTGAGAGGATAAAAGATAAGGCTGCTGACATCTTTGAAAATATGTGCTGCCATTATTAGAATGTTGCTAGGAAAATGTGAAAGTGTATGCACACGTGCACCTGTGTGGTGCTTGCACATGAATGTGAGAGTAGACATGCTTGCAGAGGTCACAGTACATTTAAGTGTCTACTTCTGTTGCTACCCACCTTGTTTCCTTCAGTAAGAGGAAACTTTGATGAAGAGGGCTTTGATGAAGACATCCCATTTGGAACTGAGTGCCCTGAAGTCTCATTCTCTGCACATTGTCCAGTTGTGGGTCTTGAATTAATTCCACTTACGGCAAGAAGCTTCTCTGCTGAGGGTTGATTCTCTGCTGACACTGATTTCACTTAGGATGTTTTCTTTAGAATAGTCAAACTTCTTACATTGTGATCCAGGCTTTCCAAAATGCAAATATTGAATTTATTGACTAATAAGAATGAATGTGGGATTTAATTTTGGAGGGCTTATAAAAGGTCAAGAATAATACTAAAAGACATGATTCATAGGGGTCATCATTTGAAACTACCACAGTCCATTTTCTGGGTCCCAATGATTCACATTTCTAAACCACTTTACCTTTTTTTCAAATCTACTAGTATCATGCCATTTATGGTGTTAGACTCAAGTATAAGGTCTCAGATGCCATCAAGTAACATGTCCAGGTACCTGCATTGAGACTTTAGGTATGGCTTCTCAAGTATGGATCCTTGTGTGCTGTTTTCAAGCATAGATCCTCGGTAGTAAAAAGTATAATTTTGTGAATAAAATTATTAGTTTGCTCTACAAATACCCAACAGAGCTAGGCAGAAAAGAAACTGCAGTCCGGGAAAATGTGTGGCACATATTAGTTTTGAAGTACAAGTAGACACATAGCAGGTTTCTTGATTAAAGTCTGTACTCATGGAATTGGCTCTTTATTTTTTAAAGTTGCAAAGTCCTGCATCTGCCTCCCTAGTCCTGGGAATATGAGTGAGCTCTCTATGTGGTACTTCTCTGAAGTCCCAATAAAGGCTCTTATATTTGAGGTCCTGACACTAAGGACACAGTTTTAACTTTGGTTCTCTGGAGTTAATCTTCATATAAATGTCATTCCTATTTCAAGAAACCATTTGGTACTCTGAACACTAAAACCCTAGAAACAGTCAGGAGTTTCAGTGCTTTTACCCATGACTCAATGGGTAAAAACACTTGCAGTGTAAATGAACCCACAGTAGAGAGAACCAGCCCCCAAAAGTTGTCCTCTAACTTTCACATGTATATGGTGGTCTGTGCATGCATGTATGTGCACACATGCATGTACCCACACACATATGCTAATAATACACTTTAAAAAAAATTTAGGAGTAACCTCTTGGTCAGATCTTTGGATTCATTATGTACTATGTACCATACATATTTTCTTGATAGCACTTGTAGTAACTGTTCTCCTACAGCAATATGACAAAAGACATACAAGTCTAAGGATTGCACCAGGTCCTATGTACATATATTATAGCTTTCAGTATAGTATTGGGGGGCGGGGGACTCCTGGGTGTGGGAATGAGGTCTCTGATTCTTGTTCCTTCTCTTGGGCTCTTTTCCTTCTGTTGGTTTGCCTTGTCCAACTTGATGTGATGGTTTTTGCTTTATCTTATTGTATTTTATTTTGTTATCTCTTAGAAGCCTGTTCTTTTCTAATGAGAGACTGAAAGGGAGTGGATCCAGATGGGAGGAGTGGTGAGGTGGAATTGGGAGGATTGGGGGGGGGGGGGCGCGGCGGCGGAGACTATAACCAGGATATATTGTATGAGAAAAGAATGTATTTTCAATAAAAGGGGAAAAAAGAAAAAAGTCTGCAACCTAAACAAATTATTATAATTAGAATGATTATTTGCATTTTTAGCTACTCTTTTTATAATTCTCAAAAAAATCAACAATTGCTAAATTTATTAAGAGATTAATTACTATGTGTGAGATGGTTCAGCTATGAAGAACACTTACTGCTGTTGCAGAGAACCTGTGTTTAGTTTTCAGCACCCACACGGTACATCACAACTGCTGCCTTTAACAGTAAGAATCTAACTCCAGATCCAGAGATCCAATGCCCTCTTTTGGCTTCTGTGGGTTCCTGCATGCATGTACATACAGACAAGAGGTATTTACTCAGACATAATTAAGATAGTACCTGACATATGATAATTTTATCTTAACTTCTGTGTTTATTCTACATTTATTTCATATGTAATATCCATAAACTATTTTATTTGGAGTAACTAAGGCCCAAGGTAGAATTAAGGAATGCATGTATTTAAAGGAATATCAGTATAAAATTGGAAGTGTTATTGCTATTTGAACAGTCCTTTCACCAGCTTGAGTATACCATCTGAGCTGAATCTTCCATAAGTTTCTTTTGGTTGTTTCTTCCTATCAGCTGGGAGGTCAGGTCAGCAGTTCAGAAATGTCTGCAGTATAGACTTATTTTTAGATTCAGAAAAATTCATTGGCAAGCATGGATGACATGTAAAAATGTTCTCCATAAAAATATTATAATTCTTACTATGTAAGTGTGGTTAGTAACATTCCTTAAGGTAATATTCCACTAATAATTAGTAAATAAAATGATTATCTGACCATAATATACTTGAGATCCTTCTTGATATTCTTTCCTGCCAGTTGCCACTCAACCTTCTGTCCTACACAGTTGGCATTTCAGCCTCAGGTAACAGGGAGCCACCCTACCCAACTCTTGACAAAGGGAGTTCTCTGTAATACTGGGAAAGGTAAAATGCTCACTATAGCTTACAACAGAATGCCAAATATTGCATCTTCTCTCTCATACATGAATCTAGCTTTAAATTTTCATATATGTGTATGTATGTGGGAGTATATGTAGGTAGAATCCAGGAAACTAAAAAGAAGTCTATGAAAAGCAGGGAGGGGAAGGCTTTAAGAGAGCAGGGTGGGAAGGTGATAGAATTATTTGATGTGAAAGTGTAAGGCAGAATACTGAGAAGGGTATAAAAGAGTTTAAGAGAATTGCAGTGGGGGAGGGGAAACGAAGTATTTTTGGGAATGCCATAAGAGAACCTGTTTGCATGCTAATTAAAAATAAAGAAATAGGTGGTGGCTGATTAGTCATACAAATTGTTTACATAATATTCTAATAACTAATTCTGTTTAAATTAAGATGTTTGGATTATTTTAAGATTTTATTTAATAAACTTAAATGTTGAAACAAATCAAGAAATTTATTGGAGCAGGTAGATGTGAGGTTATTTCATGTGTAATTGAAGAAAGCAGAGACAGCTGGCTGAGAATGTGGCTAGGAGGTAGGGAAAGGTCAGACAATCCCCATTCATATTAGGGATTAGGACAGTGATGATTACTCACAACATGAATTATAAATTATTACACTGTAATATAAGGAATGTTAACTGGTCAGGACTTTATATAAGTCAAACTTTATTCACAGGAGCCTCATTTGTCTCCCGTCATCTACCTCTCTTGTGGTATTTTAAAAGGCATTTTTGGCATATTTTAAATTAAAATTTAATTACTTTCATTTCCTCCTCTCCTTCCTCCAAAAGCCCTGCCCCACTCTCAAATTAATAAAAATCAAGTTTCCTTGATTATTATAGTTAGACACACATTTAAGATACATAGTTTTAGCATGTAATCCACAAGCCACGTCATAAAGACAAAAAACAAACAAAAAACCAAACAACAACAACAACAACAAAAAAAACAGTTTTGGTAGCCCTAACATTTAAAAATGGATGTGAAGTTCAAAATTCCATAATAAGTCTTTATGGCAATTAGTAAAAGTAATGTTTCTAAGGTATTCATTTTAATGTTTTCATTTCTTTTTAAAATGTGAAATGAATAGGTTTATAAACTTTGTTTATGTGCTTAAAGAACACTTTATATTTGAATAAAAATAAAAGTGCTCGTTAAAAACAGGAAAAAGATAACATCTAAAATAAACATAGGTATGTCCATCCTTTTGTAACTTTCCTTGGTTAGAAAAAGTTCAAAGTAGTATGATTTTACATAAATTTAAATTCTTGCTGGAGGAACAAGGCACACCTACAGACAAGTGAAATTTCATGTCAGTTGTCTCAGATAATCTCTTATATTATCTCTAGAATAATCTGTAGGTAACAAATAATGACTCTATTGATAGAGGAAACGGGTAAGTTCCAGGTATGAGGTGTCTGATTAAATGAAGAAAAGGAGGGGACTTAAGTATCACTTAAGTAATAGTTCACTACTGGGAAAGCAGCTCTTTGTCATCTGTGTGTCACATCTACTTTCCCTGGAAAGAATATCTTCTTTAGAGAATGAGAAGTAATCTTGGTAAAGATTGTTGCAACAGTTCTTTAGTCCAAGGAATTTATGAGTTGGAAAATTCACTTTACTACATGCATAACATTACTTCTGTGAGAAAATACGCCTTATGTAATTATGGGTCAATCTGGATGGTACTAAACTTTCCTAAGAACTCTGATTTCCTAGAAAGAGTGCACATTTTGGTCATTTCACGTATGTTTTGGAAAACACACTGGACTGTAATCCCAGTTGCATGTTTTGTCAGCACTGGAGATGGAACCCAAGGCTTGCCTCCTGCCAAGCAAACACTCTGCCACTGAGCTCCACCTCGAGCCCTGCTCTTTTTCTTACTGTGGTACTGTTGTGCCACACTGTAGGAAGCTAGCCTCACTCATTCCTCTGTCAGGTAGTAGAGACAGTTGGCTGCTTCAGTTCCATTCACCTTGTGACTTCTGTTCCACAAGTTAAAATGACTTCCTTTCATGTCACCTAAGAACAATCTCCCTAAGATGACAAGAAAGAAGATACAAACCACAAATACCATTTCCACTGTATTCTGTAGGACAAAGCATCCCAGATTCAAGAAGCTGGAGAAACAAACCTTTCCAAGAAGATTTTTAGACTTATTTTTATTTAACTAGGTAGGTGGGAATACATGAGTGCAGATGCCTGTAAGATACTAAAGACCTGCAGTTACACATGCTTCTAAGTCATCTCACATGGGTGCTGGAACCAAAATCAGGTCTTCTGGAAGAGCAGAAAGTACTAAGCCATCTCTCTAACCTCATAGAAATAGAAATCTTTTTATAGAAAGAGTTGTAGCAAAAAGGTACAGTGGTATGAATGGGAGGAATTTGAGCCCATTTCAGTCCATTTCCATTAAGCAACTTTCCAAATGAGGTCTGCTTTGGAACACACAGGTAACCCCATTTGAGAAATCAAAGAGCAAAATAGTATGGCTACCTTATAGGATCATGTTGAGACTAAGTAACATTAAGTTATACACACACACACACACACACACACACACACACAGCTCAATGTCTGCCATGTAAGTCTTCATCAAGTATGAATGAGGATGATAGGATTCAATGAATTAGAGTAATCAGTAGGGGAATCAGTAATGAGCTTTGTTTGGGGGCAAGTCAAATGTCAGAAGTACTATTTTTGAACAATTACTATGGTGCCTTTGAAAGGGCCAGTTTGCCATAAGGAGAGACCAGCAAAACAAGTAACTATTAAAATATGTTAGATGTAATGTAATAAAGACTGAATTGGAAGGAAAAAAACTTGATACAAAGGCATTTTGTACAATGAATGACTAATCTTAATTGATTTGATATGATATAGGAAAGTTTTAGAAGGGAAGAGATGGAAAAAAGTTACTCTCAGTTATGATACCAATGAATTCATTTTGGAAAATGTTTCAGACATGTGCTGATAATAGTATACTAACATCAAGAATTAGGATATGGTAGAACATGAACCAAATCTGATTCTCTTCTTCATGCATCTGACTTACAACTGAATAAACTCTACTGTGTTGTGAATGAAAAAATGTTATATCTTCTTCAGAATACAAACAGTCTATGGTATTTGCAACCTTGTGTGGTTCTTGGTTTGTTTTCCCAATACTTTTTCTTTGTGTTATGTATTAGTTCTTTCAAGCCAGTGAGGAATGGCATTCTCTATCATATTTGCCAAATAAAATGCTACATTTTCTTCTCATATTTCTTTGTTGATTTATTTTTACTATTATCTGCCCAGTATTTCTTGTTTTGGAGAAATCTGCAGGACTAACACATTTCCATTCTCCCTTTCATAATAGAAGAGCACCAGTCTGATTAATATGAATGAGCCTTACAAAGTGCAAACTTCCAGTAGGTTAAAGCTGGTATAGTTAACAACTTCCTTAAGTACATATAAAACGTCATTCAGGAAGGACTTCTATTGGGAAAACAGGCTTTCATGTATATCACTGGAATATTTAGCTTTTATAATAATGTACTTGATATGTCCTTCGTCTCTTCCTTCTCCTGTCTTTTACTAAGAAACATTACCTACTGTGTGCCACACAGTTCTTAGACACTGGAGATACTATAGGGAAGAAGATATAAGGGTTCCAACCTCATGGAGCTTACATTCAGTTAGGAAAAAGACGAAATATAAATGTTAATTAATGAATATTGTTTCTTGGAAAAAATAGAATGAAAATGAGAAATGAGGAGATAGAAGATTCTGGAGAAAGGAAAGAAAGAGACCAAGAGATTAAAGCTGAGCTTGATAGAGATAGGATAACTTCCAGAACAGACGGTTGTAACAACCATAAAACAAAATTGGGTCTTTGGAAATTAAAAATAGAGTAGTTGGAATTAGTCTGCCTTTGTAAGGACTGGAATATAAGGCTAAAGGAATTTCCTAGAACACAAATATATATTTCTGATACCTGAGAAAAAAAGCACACATTTAGTTTGAACAAGTCCATCAACTAAAATAAGGGAATAACCCATACCTAAACAGATTCTCATGAGATTATAAATTATATGAGTATGAATGTAAATAATCATAAAGCTTCTAAAGGGAAAACAAAGTTTTCAAAACAACATCTGGCCTACAATGGATGAGATGGGCAACCACCATTGAAACTAATTGCTTTGGGTGCTAGATGACAATGGCATTTCTGAAGGAACAATTACTCTGAGTTTAGGAATGACATGAAATTATGATGATTAAGATGTGAATTCTATAGGAAGTATAATCATATCAGCAAATTATTAGAACTAGAATCATTTACCATATAAGAACCTTTTAAATAACTATTTTTAAAAAGCAAGGTATAGCCTCAAAAGGAGATTATAAATTTTCTAAGATCATATAACTCTCTCATAGAAACATGAAAGTTTTTATGTAGTATGTAAAATATCTTCCTAAATAGCAGACATTTTATCTTGTGAATTGAAGGTAACCTCAGTAAAACTTAGCAAGTCATTTTTGAAATTCAATAGCTAATTGATATGTCTAACGACAAAGACTTAGGACTAGCTTAGTGTACGTTTTAGACAGGGAAGAGAATGAATGGGTGCTGGGACTTACAGTAATATGGACTTGGCAGTGGCTCCAGTACCGACAAACAGAACTGGAATGAGAAGAGGACAATTGCACATATACAGATTCAAGTATTTCAATCTTAGTGTCTTCTGTAATAAAGAATCAAAAAAAATTCGGATCAACTACAGTGAAATGATTTTAAGGGGCATGAAAGGAAACAGGGACTAAAGAGGAATGAGATCATATAAAGCTCTTTACATTGTGTGACTATCATAATTCATCTGCGTTGGTCATTTGGGTTGCTGCTGACCTGGCACTATATTAATAAAAGCTGCAAATATATTAGTGTGCATCTTTTTGTGTCGTCATTTTTCGGACAGTATTTTATATTGCCATCAGAAATATAACTACTTGAGTGTCCTACTGATCCTATGAATGCCTAACTAAGATGGTCAGTGCTTTAATTTTGGCCAATCTAATGGGAGTGTTACATTAGCATGGCTCAGATTGCCTACTTGAGGCTTAATTCCTTTCCTTTTTCTAGCATCTTTGTATTTTCTGATGTCTCATGATTGTTTTCTTTGATCCTAGATTTACAAATAATTTCCAAACATCACAGTATTATCTCAAATTTGTCTTGTGATTAAAAACACCTTCTGTATGAGTGTTTGGCCTGCATGTGTGTGTGCACCACATGCATTCAATGACTGCAGAAGTCAGAAGAGGGTTTCTGATCCCTAAACCTTCAGTTATATATGGTTTTGAACCACCATAAGTCAGTGTTAGGAAATAAACAAAAGCCAGGTCTTCTGAAAGAGCAGCAAGTGCTCCTAACCTTAGAGCCACACCTCCAGCCCTCCACTCAGACCTTTTATTTTTTATTTTATTTTATTTTATTTTTTTTTGGTTTTTTCGAGACAGGGTTTCTCTGTGTAGCTTTGCACCTTTTCCTGGAACTCACTTGGTAGCCCAGGCTGGCCTCGAACTCACAGAGATCCGCCTGGCTCTGCCTCCCGTGTGCTGGGATTAAAGGCGTGCGCCACCACCGCCCGGCTAACTCAGACCTTTTAAATGTACAGAAATTTGTTTTCTGGTTCAACACAAGACCGATATACATGTGAATGTTCCGTCCACACTTGAAAGGAGTTGAAATTTGTGGATTTTGGATGAACTTTTAAATAAGCGCTAATTATGTTCACTTAGTTAATAGTACTGACCAAGTCATTGATGGCCTCAGGTATTTCCCTTCTTTTAAATCTCCCAACAGTAAGTATAAAAACGTCTATTGTCTGTTCATCTTTTAATTCTTTTAGGGTGTTGTCTCTCATATTTTGAAGCTGACTATTTCTGCACAAGTATTTCCTTCTTTTGGGAGGGTAGATGAGAATATCCGTCTTGTTCCCTCTTACTGTTTATTTTTGAAGTATATAATGTGAGTTCACAGATGGAGGGGAATTTGCTGTAGGGTGAATTGAATCTTGAATCTTACTTGTACTTAATGTATATTAAATATATACATCTAAATAATGGGATGCTGGATTTTTGTGTTGTTGCTTGGTGAATCAAAACTTTGGAAGAAGGAATTAATGTATTTTGTAAGTGATCAATCAAGACAACATTTCCTAGAGAGCCATTGTGGAATTCTATAGAATGTGTTTCCCCAAACTTACAAACTTTACCTTCCATTGATTATTTAGAGCTAGGACTTTTGAAAAGTAGTTAGTTCATGGGTAGAATCCTCAAGAATGAAACTAGTGACCTTCTAAGTCAATTCCAGAGAGCGATGTGACAATTTAGGTAAAGTACATCCATGAGGAATGTAGGCCATCAAAAGACATAGAATCTGTCACTTAAGACCTTCCTGCCTCTGGAATCTGTTATTTACAAGTCAAAAAGTCTACATTACTTAATTATAGATGCTCAAGGAGACTAAGGTCACACATTATGAAGAACCTGCTTTAAAAACAAAACAAAACAAATGAGACAGAGAATATATTAACAGCCGCCTGATAAATTATCTTGAAATGAGAGCACTGATGGTCTAGACTCTAGAGATAGGCTAACTACTCAGCAAAACAATGAATGCCAGAAGAATGAAAATTTCCTTAAGTATTGAAAGAAAAAGTAAACATAGAATTTTATTAAAAATATCATTAAAATTATAATGTATGAATGTTTCATATAAAAACAATGTTAGACAGAACTGTCTAAAATGTTACATAGCAAGAAAAAGAGAAAATGGGATTAAAGTATTTTGATGTCCTAGAGTTTTATGAGAAAAGTAAAAGAATATAATGAAAGTCAGTAGGAATCTAAGACTCCATAGAAAACCACAAGAAAGCGAATGAGGGGCTCAGTCAGCTAGGTGCTTGCTGTCCAAGCACGAAGACTCAAGTTCAGATCCCTGGCATGTGCAGAGAAAGCCAGGAGTGCTGGCACATGCCTGGAGGAGAGAGAAGAGGAGCTTGATCTTTCTGGCCAGCATCAGGTTAAATGAGACACTGTCTCAAAAATGAACAAGTGGAGAGAAATAGGGGAAGACAACTTGACATTAACCTTTGGCCTCTTCACATGTACACACAGTGGCTGCACCTGCCCACACAAGTGCACATAGACATAAGCATGTACATCCTTGTATATCACACACAAATAACAGAAATAAAGAAGTAAAAGAACATGTTAATGAGGAAAATATATAGTAAAGTACTTGATTAATCCTAAAGAAAGTAAGGCAGGGATCAGTGAAATATAAAACAAGCAAATATGAAGCTAACAAAACCAAATGCTGAGTCTTTGAAAAAGTAAATCTGATGAACCCCTACTAATACTCTTCCAAACAATCCAAGGTTGACTTGACCTTTATACATATGTTAATGAAATTTACCATGGAAAAACATGGTGATTTCCAATAGGCCCAGAAAACAATTTGCTATTAAAAGTTATTTTGGCAAACTGAGAATATATCCTTGTAAACAGTACATGGGTGCTGGGTATAATCAGGTTCTCATCCTTGCGTGGCAAGGTCTTTCTTTACCTATTGGGCTATCTCTCCAGCCCCACACATGACTTGAAATTTTGTAAATTAATGTCATTCCTGCTAATAATCAGTTGCAAAACAAGAATATCTTCTCTGGCCAGTTTTTTATTTATTAATGAAACTGAACTCATTGTTTCATTCAAATAGAGATTTCAGAATTAACTAAAAAATTCAAACTAGTATTACATATGGACAATATATTTGGATTCCTATCTCCTACTGAAGACAAAGGAAAGTATAAATACACTGGTGGAATAAGAAAGTTGGGCATAGTTGTGGGGATATGCTTAATACATAACAGTTAATTTCATTTTAAAATACCTTCAATAGAGCTGGGGAGATGGCTCAGCAGTTAGGAGCACTTGTTCTTGAAGAGGACCTGAGTTCAATTCCCTGCAGAGACATGGCAGCACACAACCAGTTTGGGGTATCCCTCATCCTCTTCTGGCCTTCATAGGCACCAGACAGACACTCACAAATGCAAGCAAAACACTCATACATAATAAAACATCTTGTTAAAAATTAAATCTTTTATAATGGAAACAATAAAAAATTAACTGAAAACATCTGACAAAAATGTGTGCAATAATATATGCAGGTGCCTAAGGAGGCTTAAAAAGGATGTCAGATACTACTGTTTATTTTGAAAAACCCAGAAGGGGCTGGCCATAGCTCTCCAGATGCATGGCCAATGCATTCACTTCTCTCGCTCTACATCCAGGGGACTTACTTAAGCCAGGACTTTGTTCTGGTGTCACACGTACATAATGTGTAACAGTCCACAATCAAGTCTTAAAAGGTGAAACCTTTCATTTTTTCTTCACGATCAAGTCTTAAAAGGTGAAACCTTTCATTTTTTCTTGTAGACGTTACCTTCAAAAGAAGCATTTTTAAATGCAACACAGACGCCTTACATGGGATCACCTTTAAGTTGGGACAACTGGGAACAGAGTTCCAAGTCCCAGCTCTTCAGAGAGCACGTCTCAAAGCTAGATTCCTCTTTTCATCCTGTGCTGTCACTGCCATCAGGTAAGCTACATCATGAAAATTGGAATATTTCCTATAATAAAATATAACCTTTAAGTACAGGCAATCTCTTAAAAATATTTGGAGTTTTATTTTTGGAGGTGGGGGGATTGTTGAGATGGGGCCTCACCATATAGCCCTGGAATTATTTATGTATACTAAGCACACTGGATATTTTTAATTCTCATAACCCCCTAAGAGTACATTCTGTTGTCCTTTTCATCTCACACATGAGCACATTAAACTTGGAGAGGTTATTCACCCACAGTCATTTAGCTAATGAACAATGGAGCCAGGAGTTGAGGTATTTATCACCAGACCCACATTCCTATTACTCTTTATTATTAACTGATTTGCTTCTCTCTTGATGTACCTTTGAAGGTTGAAAGCCTCATTCTAAATCGTAACTCTGAGACTATATCAATATATACTTCTCCAGACTCTAAGACATCTAGTCTAATAAGATTAGCTTCTTTACCTACAAGCTAAAGCTTCTTGCATTTGACAGAAATCTCAATACCTACTCTATACTAAATAGGTGCTAGAAGTATAAATAAATCCCTCATGGTACTTGTATTCTACTTTTAATACCATACACATATAAATATAAGAAACAAATAAAATACTTTGCTAAAAATCTATAAGGTACTTTAGGGAGGTACATAGGAACAAGGGCCATCTCTAGTTAAGTCATGTTTCCAGCCCTCACCATGGTAGAACAGATGGATTTCTTGTTAGAACAGTGTTAGGGAAACAAGGTTATATTTAGGCAACTTGAAAACAAAATTTTGAAGTTTATAAAGCATTTTAAAGCATAGTATTTAATTTGTTTACATTTTATTTTTTCATGTTTTTGTAGCAAATTCCATATTGACACTTGAGACTTTTTTTAAAGTACATTTTTTCTATTTACACATGGACTTGCCATTAAATATATCCTTTGAGCCAGTCAAGGTGACACACCCCTCTTATCTCAGAACTAAACAGATATAAGCAAATTTCTGTTTGAGGCTAGCCTGATCCAAAGAACCTCTATCCTGATATACATGTTCATGACTAATTTTGCCTATTGCTGGCAAAACGTTCAATAGGTCAAAAAAAGTCTCTATAAAAATGTTTCTCAGGAAAAGTTTAGGTGTCTGTTATCCATGCTTTTAAAAATGACTTGTTTTTACATCTATAAAACTTGTATTCATTTTGAGTGTGTGTGTGTGTGTGTGTGTGTGTGTGTGTGTGTGTGTGTGTGTGTGTGTGTAGGTCAGAGATCAATTCTCTGGAGTCAGTTCTGTCCTCCCACCATGTGGTCATGCTTGGTGAGAGCGCCTTATCTGCTAAGCTATCTCACTGGCCCAGGTTTCATATTTATGACTGAAAAAAATACTTAGTAAATATGAAGTTTGGCCTAGTAGGTTGGCTTAATAACCAGGTGAAAGGCACTTACCGCAGGCTGAGAACCTGTTCAATCCCAAGGACCCATATGGCAGAAGGAAAACCCCAATTTCCATGAGTTGTCTCTGACTTACACATGCCTACGTGTGGCACTTGTACAAACCCACCACCCTTGAACACAATAAATTAATGTAATAAAATATAGAGAACATCTTGCTTGTAACTTGGCTCATTTTTGAGCATAAAATATGTCAATATTTTCAATTGCATTTATCTATCTGAAGGAAGACAGCTTCTCAATGAATTTTAGTCTTTATACAAGTAGCTTCACTTATATTCATGTCAAAGAATGTGAAACTTGGTGTTCTCATGTATTCTGCTCTTAGCAGTGTTTCCCTGTGCAACAACCATATAAACATACCATTTTCATTATTTTTAAATGCTTTCGTAAAGATCTTTTAGGTGCATTTGTGTCTGTCTATTCATCTAAGTTACATTTATTATAATGACTCTTCTTTTTACATACTAAAGGAAGATCTTAAGAGTTCTTCATATGCTAGCTTCTTGTTTATTAAGTGTACCAAATTAGTAACTTTCTAAACATGGTTACCAACCTTCTTGGGAAAGTATTCTGATGCTTCTATTTCTCAAAGTTCTTACTGTGTAAACTTTTATTTTTCTAAGCTTATGTGCTAATTATTAAAAGGAAACAAAATTAGTATTAGGCTATGGAAAGTGGTGTTCCCTGAAAATTAATGTTTTCCTTTGTCTTTCCAGAGATTCCCCTTCATCTTCATTTTGAGACCTTATTTAAGAAGACTGACTTGAAAGGAGAGCTTGCTGAAAATCCATATGTAGGTGACTGTATCATAGCGCCACCATCTGGTATGTCACATTTACAAATCCTGTGCATTTGTACGTTTTTACATTGCCCACGTTTAATTTTTTGCTTTCTAAGTAAATAAAATTTAACAAAATAATAAATGCAAATCCTTAATTTTTAATATACTTTTTCCGTAAGTCACACACACACACATATGTGTACACACACACACACACACACACACACACACACACACACACACACACACACTGAAGGACGTGGTGTGGACTGCTTATTGTTTGAGCCCCTTGGTCCTAGGACATGAGACGGAGGGAGAAGAAGGAAGGTGAAAGAGCATGGGTGAGGACATAGAGGGAAGAAAGGGTGAGAGGGAGAATGACTAGATGGATGAAGGAATGAATGAACGAACATAGGAACAATCGTAGGATGCAATGTCTGATACCTCTTGAAAGTTATGAAGTATTGATAAGTAGAAAACAGTATTATTAATATGGTAAAATTACAGATACCATTTTGTTTTATTAGTGTGGGTATTTAATGCAATGTAAGTTGGAGTTATAGTAGACTTGGTGATCTTGAAATATCCCATAGCTCATCAAGAGTACTGAAGAGGAGAAAACATAAAAGGAACTGGTAGTGTTGAAAAATGTAGCTCAACCACATATAGAGACATACCAGAAACCACAGAAAGCATAGATTTTTGTGTATATTTACAAAGAGTATAATCATGAAATGATCAAGAAAGCTGGTAACCATTAGAATATACAGCATTGTTACTTTTTCTGAGTAAAAAAATTATACCTATTTAATAACATAAATCACAATAAATTGGAGTTGGCTTCTATAATTTTAAGTAAAAAAAATAAAGTTTATATAATAAAACCGCAAGGAAATTATAATGAACTATTTGAGTTCTCTGAAAAGGAATGAAGACATTGTCTATGTTTAGAAGCAATATGAAATGAAAAAAAATCAGCATTTCTGTTGTCTGCAAAGCTGTAATTTAGTATCAAAAGAAGTCAAACAAATTATTTCCAGGCAAAAATATCTACCTGCAAAACTCCAGAGTAAAATAAATATATGTTAAGTGGTTTTTATTATAAACCCCAGCCATTTTAGGCCTGAGGAGGGGGATTATGTGTTGTTCAGTGTTCAAAGGCCCTGAATTCAGTTAAGAGCACTTCGAGGCAGAGGGAGAAAACTGATTTCAAAAACCCACCAACTTTTATAAAGTGCAGTAGTAATTAGACAGAATATATAAAGTAACAAAGTCTTCATTCAAGACAGATGGCAATGCCTCTTAAGTAGGATTTACATTAGATAACTTTAATAAATTACAGTTTTAAAGGAACAAAGCATGAAAGGTGTTCCCTTATGAAGAGAAAAAACTGCTCTTGTCAGAAGACACTTTGAAACTTAAGATGTCTGTTTTATATTGCTGTATACAGAGAATTCTAATTAGGATCAGGAAAGGGTGTTGCTGTTGTTGTTTTCAGAGACAAGACTTCTCTGTTTGCTCTGGCTGTCCTGGAGCACTCATTAGACCAGGCTAGCCTTGAATTCAGAGATCTGCCTTCCTCCTTCTCCCAAGTGCTGCAACTAAAGGCATGCACCACTACACTCTTAAAGTTACATTTATTAAGAATTGTTTTTCTTTTTTTTTTTTTTTTTTTTTTTTTTTTTTTTTTGGTTTTTCGAGACAGGGTTTCTCTGTGTAGCTTTGCGCCTGTCCTGGAACTCACTTGGTAGCCCAGGCTGGCCTACAATCCCAGCACTCAGGAGGCTGACAAGACGATTGCCAGAATTAGGGAAGCCTGGGCTACAATAGTTATCCCAGGACAAAGTGGAACACAGTTAAGACAGCTCTGCTGTTCTTAACTCAGGGTCCCTTTATCTCAGCTTCTTAAATCCTGGAGTTTTTGGTGTATGCCACCAAGCCTGGCTGAAATATTCTCTTTGCACAAAATTATCCTGATGTTTATCTCAGAGAAAATGTTGAAAGATAGCAAATATAATTTTGAAAATTTCAAAAGGAGCTGTCATATATCAAAATGCTTTATAGTGATAATAGAGTATGATGATACTGAACAAAAGCCAGAAAACAAAAGGAAGGCTCAGAGAGAGACAGGTACTTACGGTGTATTTTTATAGTATAGAAAGGAGGCTTTAGTGAATAAGTATCAATGACAAGAGACTATAGTGATGGCTCAGCAGTTAGGAGCACATGCTCTTGCAGAGGACCTGGATGCAGTTCCCAGCACCCACGTGGTTGCTCAGAACCATCTGCAACTCTAATTCGAGAGGAATCTTATGCCCTCTTCTGACTTCCGCAGGTACCAGATATGCAGGTGATACACATACATTTATGCAGATAAAACACTCATACATACAAATCTTTAAACCAATGACAAGAACAAATGCTTGATGTAGTCTTATATCAACAGTATCAGAAGGTACTTTAAACAAAAGGCAGGTATTGTTATTCTTGAATAGGCAAATCACAGTGAGGTAGGGCTAGAGAGCAGTCTGAGTCAAAGGTTGTGCTCTGAGTAACCACCTTGTGTTTGTACTCAGTAGAATTAAATAATGGAAGATTACAAT